CATATAACAGACCACTCTGACCTTGCCAGTTCCTTGTCCTGTCCTTCCCCTTTCTCCTACATCAATTCCTGCACTGATGTCCTTCCATTGTCCTAGCTTCTGGCTCTATCAATAAAAAGCCACAGAAGCTTCAATTTATAGCTGTCTTTATGAGACTCTCTCAGGCTGAAGGGTCTCAATTAAGGGCAATCCTTCTGGGCCTTCTTGGAGTTTGACTTGGACATTGACTCTGAGTAGTCTTTCATCCTTTGCATGGTGTCACAGTCGTGAACTGCAGCAGTAGGCAAAGGCCTTATGAACAAGACTCATAAAAAACTCCACAGGAAATATTACAAAGAATCAACAACTGAGACCTTATCATATTAAAAAGCTTTTACACAGCAAAAGAAACCACTGACAGAGTGAAGAGACAATCTGCAATGTGGCAAAAACTTTACCAGCTATTCCTCAAACAAAAGAATAATATCTAATATATATAAAGAATTAAAAAAACTCAAACCTCCCCAAATTAAAAACTTAACCAAAAAATGGGCATCTAAAATGAATAGATACTTCTAAGATAAAGAAGTACAAACAGAAAAAATATATATGAAAAAATGTTCAATACCACTGGTCATTTGAGAAATGTGAATTAAAACAACACTGAGATTCATCTCACTCCAGAAAGAATGGCTATCATCAAGAAATCAACCAATAACAAATGTTGGTGAAGCTGTGGTGGAAAACCAAAACTTTTCCCACTGTTGCGGGGAGTGTAAATAGGTAAAACCAATATGGAAATCTGTGTGGAGATTCCTCAAAAAACAAAAACTAGAGATTCCACTTTATCCAGCTATTCTCCTTTTTGGTATCTGTACAAAAGAGTTAGAAGCATCATACCACAGTTATATATGCATGCCCATGTTTGTATCAGCACAATTTGTAATAGCTAAATCTTAGAAACAACCCAGATGCACATCAATGGATGAATGGATAAAGAAAATGTGGTTTTTATATACAATGGAGTAGTACTTTGCCATAAAGAAGGATAAACTTGAAACCTTTTTATGTAGATGGATGCACCCTGAGACCATACTTTTAAGTGAAATAAATCGAATACACAAATTTAAATATTGCATTATTTCTCTTCTATGAGAAGCTGGAAGTGTAAATAAGGACAAAACTGAATGATATATATCTGGAAATAGGAAGAAAATGTTAAAATGGGAAGGGGAACAAGGGAGGAGGGGAAGAGAAGGGAAGGAAGGGAAAATGATAAAAAAAGAAGAAAAAAATGGAAAGCAAGCTTTGTAAATAAGGAGCAGAAGGTTTGAGGGGGGAATGGGGAAAAAAGAAGAATCAAAATACATTATGTAGAGTTACAAATTCTCTCTGATGAATGTAACCATTACATATATCGAAAGAATATAAGTAAAATTAATTTAAAAATCAAACATGAAGTTTAAAACCTTTTTTCATTTGCACATATCTTCAAAGTAGATTCATGACAAATTTCCATCTAACAACACCTTTCTTTAGAGAATCATTTTTAGAAATTACCTGACTCAGCTTCTAAAAGGCTACAATCTAATACAGATATAAGTATAAATAGATCAACATTTTTATTATACATATTCAAGAAAATACTAGGTGTGCCATTTGCTAGAGTAATAAAAAGAAAAAAATCTTTGATGGTTCCTTGCTGCTTATAATTAGTAGCATTCAGTAGTTGGAAGCACTGCATAAAAAATCCATGTTACAAGACTGTAATCATGTAAATCATGCCCATACTGATATCTAGCAGTCAGTGGTACTATCCATGTCCTAGTTCTACCACAGTCCATGGTGATAATATTGCTTGTAGTATACTAGTCTAGTTGTTGGTGATAGTACTACTGGTAGTATAACAGTCCAGTTGTTTTATCCATAGTGTTCTGGTGAGTTGTAGTCAGTCATGAGGCTTGTCATAAATAATGAGATACAATAGTAGTTAAAATTTTGAAGGCAATGAATATGTACTGTTTTAATATAGTGTTGTGCATTCAAAAGTATTTCCATTAGAGTATTGTGATTTTTTTCCATTTCAAATGGAAATGGTTTCTTGAATAGAAAACAATTTAGAGTTATAATTAGCGTAACGGGAATTGGACACACCCACGCAAGTCTGGCGCCTTTTGGGATGGTGAGGTACCATGCTATGAATTGTCCTTTTGGTTATACTGGTCACAGTGCTCTTCAGATACACCATATAACTTCACTCTGTTGTGCCATCGCTCAAGCTTTTTTCCTCTTTCCAACACCTTTCCACCTTCCTTACTTCACCTAACACCTTGCAAGATGCTTACTAAAATGTCACCTCCTTTGTGAAGTCTTTTCCATCTCATAAGAAGTATAACTTTCTTTGCTGGCTTTGTAAATATACCCACAGTAGCTGTGAAAGTCCTTGATGCTTCTCAGAGGGAGAAACAAACAATCCATGGCTGTATAGGGGAATAAACTGGAACAAAGGTAAGAAAGCCCTCATACTTGGAGACCAAAAATGCAAGAGCAGCCAGATATAAGAAGGAGATCCAGTCTCACTCTGTGTGCCCTAAGCCTTGGCTCTGCCACACCATCCTGCATGTTGGTGGCGGGTGGTTGATAGTTAGTACCATGAAGATCTTGGTCTTGGTCCTGGTTTAACTCCACCTCTCAGAGGGCATGGAATGATGTGTCCTGGAATTCTGTTTCATATGAGTTCCAGCCCTCAGAGCGCATGGAAAACTTCCTTTGCAGACCTCTTGGAGAATCAGTTTGCTTGAGTCTCAGTGCCCTGAATGGCAAATTCACTGAGAACCAAGACCTGAGATGTGTGTGTGCGTGTGTGTGTGTGTGTGTGTGTGTGTATGTGTTATAATGGTGAGTGGGTATTTTGTTGGATAAGAAGAAACAATGCACAGGCCTTGCCCCATGGTTACAAGAGAGATTAAATTGGGCTGAAGTGACTATCAGAAATAGCAAAAATTTGAGAGGATTTCCTATAAAAGGCTTTGTTTAAATGGAATACTAAAGATAATTGAAAACTCCAGTTTAGATGGGATAGTTTCAGTGGAAGCACGATGAAGTTCTTTCATTTACCCTATTATCTGCAATCATTCTGAAGAAATGCAAGTATACCTGCCAGGCAATGGAGGGACAGGGTGTAATGAATCAATTCCTAATGAACTACCCAAAAGTTGACCCAGTTGCCAAGTACTGTTTCAACAATGATGCCCTTACTGATAAGCCCATCACCAGCTACATGGACGTAGTTTTAACTTTGCCCTCTGAAACCACATAGAATGAAATCTGCTTCCTTTTCCACAAAGTTACACTTTGGGTATTTGAAAACATGCCTTTTCATTATTTCCTTATTGCTTTTAGGCCAAACAATTACAGTTCCGTTATCTTGGTACCTCCAGAGAACAACCACCTCTCTACTTTCCTAAAACGCATATCCTTTTTTCCCAAGAAAAGAATGTGACACTGTTATGCCTTCACTTTCTGCTCTCACCTCCTGCTTGAGCTCTGGATGAAGGAAGCTAATTTCTTTCTCCACGAGTTTCTAGGTTCTGGACCTTAAGTATCTAAGACTGGGAAAGACTTGTTCACCTGAATTTTCAAGCTGAATTGTCTACTTGCTTTTGGTTCACCACATCCTCACCAATGACCAGGAGATTGGCCTGAGAACAAACCTAGCATCCTTCTCTGCTATTCAGAAGTTGATGGGATCCCGAGAACGGCCTATCAAACATGGCGGTAAGGAATGCTCCAACGGTTATGTAGTGAATGCCCCCACAGGGACAGCTCACTCACTTATCCTCCACTGTTGCTATACTCACTAGGAAAACTGAGTTCTTGAATAATCTCCAAATCCCTAAAATGAGATAGTCTTGGGGTTCAAGACACACTGGCTTCTAGCTCTTGTCTGAAGTTTTCAAAGGGATTACTGAGCCTCAGCATGGAGAAAGTAGATCATTCTTAGGCCCTATGAATAATTATATGATGTATACATGTATCACATCCATGTCTTTGTTCTTAGGAGCGTCATTATCCCTATCACCACAACTTTTACCAGTTCCACCATTAGTGAAAGTAACAGCTGATATTGATTTTAATATACATCAAATAGTAGGCTAAGTATTTTAAGTACATTATGGTACATAATTTTCACACAACACTGTAAGAAGATCAGCAATATATTTCATTCTGTGGACAAAGAAATCAGTAACTAAATAACTTACCTAGTTATGTTAATGAGGCCAAAATTTAATCTATTGCAAACCTCATAGGCATGAATTAGTTACGTCTACACTCAAAAGACTTTTAAGATTCCTCTATGACATAGAAATTAAAGATAACACTCTGAGCCATCCTCAGACCATGCAAAAGTAGGTTCTCCCTGCCAATTATTACATCTTGCCCACTATTTCCTGATATGACTTCTGCTCCTTGTGCCTTCCTATAATCTTCTTCACCTCTTACTTGATCATATCTCTTGCAGTGCTCACCTGAATTTTAGGCACTCTTCAGATCAATTTCTACCCTCTCGCCACACTTCCAAGGGGCCCAGTGCCCAGTGATTTCTCACTCTCAACACTATAGTTTTGAACTGTGCTCCAGGGCTGGGGATATAGCTCAGTGGCACAAGCACCTGTCTGCCAAGTGCAAGGTCCTGAGTTCGATTCCCGGTATCCAAAAAAACTGTGCTCCTGACACAATTAATGTTCTTGTCACTAGGGAAAGGAAAACAGACCAGTGTGCAAGAGTAAAGGAAAGAAAGAGCATGGTATGTTGGGGGGGATTTAGTTTAATGTGCTTGACATGAAGATGTGTTTTTTTAGTGGCCCAATTCTACTCATCCTAGTGTCACTTGCTCAGAAAACTTCTTGTCTGACCCCCACTGCCACCCAGAATAGACAAATTTCTTTTTCTCTGGCACACTGTGCTTTTTTCATGGCACTTACTCAGGCTGCAATTGAACACAAATCAGCAGACAGAGATAGAGTATTCTGAATTAGTCTTTATCATGCTCTCACATAGTAGTTATGAGCCCCTTGCTCCTCCCTACGCCCCAAGCTGGCAGGTAATAGGGCCACAGCAACGCAGAAGGAGAAGAGCAGCTCCATCTTCAATCCTGAAGATTCTGTGGTCAGGAGGAGCACATGGAGATAGTGACCACATCTCAGTTGTAGAACAGTCTGAAATAGGCAACACGGTTCCGATGTTTTCTAAACTCTCTGTCTGTGGACAACTGCAATGAAAGAATATTGTGCAGCTCAATATTCTAATCTTCTGCTTCTAGTCTTCCTGGCTGTGCAAATTATAACTGTGAGGCCTAGCTAAACCCTCACCTTATGGTAATTTAGTCTTAGTGATTATTTCAATGCTAGTGCACCTCTATCCTTTATCATCTAGCTGTGGTATATATTATGTTAGGAATTATTTGCTACTTGGTAAATGTCCTGGTAGTTGGTAGGCTTTCTGAAGATAAGGACAATATGTTTAATACGTTCCTGCTGGTTTGAACCACTGGTGGTACATGTAAGACTGTCCTTTCAGGCAGCTTGAACCACTAGTAGGGCGAGCCATTTAACATCAGATTGTGGAATTCAAATCAGAGCCATCTGGCAGCAAGATACACGAATTACAGCCCCATTGTGAATGTATTAACTCTTGAATGTTCCCACAGGCCCTAGCACAATGATAATACATTAGGCATTTAATAAATGTTTGTGGAATTAATCCTAAATTCCACCAAAAGCAAAGTACCTAACAAATTATGATCACTTACATGGATTAAGTATATGTTATGGTATCAGGTACTATGCTAAATATTTTTTTCATATTATTTTAATTATTAATCCCTATATTCATGTCATATCATATCAATTATATTATTATATTGATTTTATAATATAAAATTGAGACTTAGAAAAGTCACAAGACTTGCCTAAGATCATACAGTAAGTCTATACTGGAGCTAGTATTTGAACACAGGCCATATTGTCCCCAGAATCCATGCTCTTAACCAGAGTGCTCTACAGCTCTCCAGGGATCTAACACTCAAAGATGTACTAAGAGTCTTAGGATCTGAATTCCAGCCTCACAGCCTGCACAAATCACTTGGTCCCTCTGGTCTCTATCTTTTTCTGTCAATTTGGTCAATTATACATTCCTTTTTTTGGTCAATTATACATTCTTTTAAAAATGAAATGAATGAAATCATGTAGCCCTCCAAAAAGATCCTCATATTCATATATATATATTTCAAGGGAAACTATATATATAATTTCAAGGGATGATGGACTTCCTGAAGTTCATTTCTCGATGCTTGGTTAAGAACCCCTGATACATATGAAAATACTAACTTGGTCCATAGAAGTCCAATTTTATTACCTCAGCTTTTAGGGTTCTTTTCTGCAGATATGGAACCTGAGCCCAGTCTGGAGATCCAAATTTCATTGGCCAAGCAACTTTTGGGGGTGGTTTCTTGTCTGGGTTGTAGGTGCCAGGGCTAGAATTGAAAATAAAAACATCACTTTTAATGAATTAGTAACCATACAGGAACTTCACCAGCAGCATCTGTGAACTAGGCCTAACCCTTGGGAACAGACTGATAAAGTTTTTAATGTCACACAAGGATGGGGTTCATTTATCTGTCAATGTATGTCTAATTGGATGTTAGTGTTAAAGGTTGCCAATCTTGACATTCAGGTAAAGACCAACCCTAACTTAAAATATATATTTCTGCAATTCAGTGTCCTTACCTGAGAAACAAGAACCCAGAAGAGGCAGGTAATAAAAGATTTCTACAGGGGCTGGGGATTTAGCTCAGCGGCAAA